GGTGGGGGGAGGGGTCAGACAGACGCCTGGGTCCCCCCCCACCCGGGGGAGCTGTGGGGTCAAACCCCCGGGTAGACCTGGCCAACGGGAGCTTGGTGGGCCTCCATAGTGACGTCCTGGTGGATGGGACCCCTCAGGGCGCCGTGGGGCTGACCCCCAACGGCCGTGGGGCAGGATGTGGGGCACAGATGAGTGGGCTGGGTCCCTCTGGGGAGCTGTGGGGCCCAAAGACCTGGGTAGACCTGGCCAACGGGAGCTTGGTGGGCCTCCATAGTGACGTCCCAGTGGATGGGGTCTCTCGGGGTGCCGTGGGGCTGACCCCAATGGCTGTGGGGCTCGCGTTGAGTGTCTCCGTGGGGCTGCCCCATAGCGCTGGAGCTGCTGAAGACGGCCATCGCGGAGGCGGGGTACCCCGACAAGGTGGTCATCGGGATGGACGTGGCCGCCTCCGAGTTCTGCCGTGAGGGCCGCTACGACCTGGACTTCAAGTCCCCCCCCGACCCCAAGCGCCTCATCACCGGGGAGCAACTGGGGCAGCTCTACCAGAGCTTCATCAAGGACTACCCCGGTGAGGGGGGGGGCAACTGGGAGGCACTGGGATGGACTGGGAGGAACTGGGAGGGTCTCTGGTGGCTTCTATGAGGCTGTGTGTGGGGATAAGGGGGCAAAATAGGGGATATACTGGGGATTGAGGGTCTTTGGGGCACTGGGAGGGCACTGGGATGGACTGGGAGGAACTGGGAGGCACTGGGAAGGCACTAGGACACAGTGGGAGCTGGGAGGCACTGGGATGGACTGGGAGGCACCTGGGAGGGCCTCTGGTGGCTTCCATGGGGTCGTGTGTGGGGATAAGGGGGCTGCCCCATAGCGCTGGAGCTGCTGAAGACGGCCATTGCGGAGGCGGGGTACCCCGACAAGGTGGTCATCGGGATGGACGTGGCCGCCTCCGAGTTCTGCCGCGAGGGCCGCTACGACCTGGACTTCAAGTCCCCCCCCGACCCCAAGCGCCTCATCACCGGGGAGCAACTGGGGCAGCTCTACCAGAGCTTCATCAAGGACTACCCCGGTGAGGGGGGGGGCAATTGGGAGGCACTGGGATGGACTGGGAGGAACTGGGAGGGTCTCTGGTGGCTTCTATGAGGCTGTGTGTGGGGATAAGGGGGCAAAATAGGGGATATCCTGGAGATTAAGGGTCTTTGGGGCACTGGGATGGACTGGAGGGGCACTGGGAGGGAACTGGGGGGCAACTGGGAGGCACTGGGAGGCACTGGGAAGGCACTAGGAGGCAGTGGAAAGAAGTTGGAGATTCTCTAGTGGCTTGTATAAGGTTGTGCACTGGGATTGCGGGGCAGGAAAGCCGCTCCGCTCTCTCCCGGCCGGTCCGTACCGGTCCGTACTGGTTCATACTGGTTGCTACTGGTTTTTTACTGGGCAGTGGTGTCGATCGAGGACCCCTTCGACCAGGACGACTGGGAGGGGTGGCAGCGGTTCCTGGGGCAGGTGGGGATCCAGGTGGTGGGGGACGACCTGACGGTCACCAACCCCAAGCGCATCCAGCGAGCGGCCGAGCTCCGCGCCTGCAACTGCCTCCTGCTCAAGGTCAACCAGATCGGCTCCGTCACCGAGTCCATCCAGGCGTGAGTCCTCGTGCGAGGCCCTCGTGAAAAAGCCCCTCGTGAAAAAGCCCCTCGTGCAAAACCCTCCTGAGAGAGAGAAACCCTCGGGGAAAGGCCCTCGTGCAAAGCCCCCTGGGGAAAGGCCCTTGGGGGGGGGGGAAGCCCCTCGTGCACGGCCCTTGTGCAAAACCCTTGTGCACAACCCTCGTGCAAAGCCCTCGTGAAAAAGCCCCTTGTGCAAAACCCTCGTGCTAAGTCCCTTGTGCAAAGCCCTTGGGGAAAGGCCCTTGGGGAAATTTAAAAAGCCCCTCGTGCATGGCCCTCATGTGAAACCCTCGTGAAAAAGCCCTTGTGCAAAACCCTTGTGCACAGCCCTCGTGCAAAGCCCCATGGGGAAAGGCCCTGGGAGGGGGGGGAAGCCCCTCGTGCACGGCCCTCATGCAAAACCCTTGTGAAAAAGCCCTCGTGAAAAACCCTTATGCTAAGCCCTTGTGCAAAGCCCTTGAGCACAGCCCTTGGGGAAAGCCCCCTGGGGAAAGGCCCTCGGGGGAAGGGGGAGGGAAAAAAGCCCCTCGTGCAAAACCCTCATGAAAAAGCCCTTGTGCAAAACCCTCGTGCAAGGCCCCTCGTGAAAAAACCCTCAGGGAATAACCATTGGGGGGGGGGAAAACCCTTGGGCAAAACCCCTCATAAAAAGCCCCTGGTGCGAAGGCTCTCGTGCAAACCCCTGGTGAAAAAGACCCTTGTGCAAAACCCCTTGTGCAAAACCCCTTGTGCAAAAGCCCTCGTGAAAAGCCCCCAAGGGATGAAACCCTTGTGGAAACCCCCCTTTCTTTGGGGGAAAACCCTCGAGCGAATCCCCTCGTGCCAAGCCCCTCGTGCAAAAGCCCTGGTGCAAAAGCCCCCGAGGGATGAAACCCTTGTGCAAACCCCCTTGTACAAAGCCCCCTGGGGCAAAACCCTCGGGCGAATCCCCTCGTGCCAAGCCCCTCGTGCAAAACCCCTTGTGCAAAACCCCTTGTGCAAAAGCCCTGGTGCAAAAGCCCTCGTGCAAAACCCCTGTGCAAAAACCCTTGTGCAAAAGCCCTCGTGAAAAGCTCCTGAGGGATGAAACCCTTGTGCAAACCTCGTTGTACAAAGCCCCCCGGGGGAAAACCCTTGAGCGAATCCCCTCGTGCCAAGCCCCTCGTGCAAAAACCCTCGTGCAAAACCCCTCGTGAACGTGTGTGTCGTGTGTCCCCCCCCCCAAAAAAAAAGGTGCAAGCTGGCGCAGAGCCACGGCTGGGGGGTGATGGTGAGTCACCGCTCCGGGGAGACCGAGGACACCTTCATCGCTGACCTGGTGGTGGGGCTTTGCACGGGCCAGGTGGGTGTGTGTCCCCCCCTCCC